CTTGATTCTCGGTCACACGAGGCCTTTGACTCCAACTTGATAAGGCTTTGGATCTCATTTGTTTGTTGCATGCATCTTTATACAAATGGCAAATTTGATTCTTTGACCACCATGCACCATTGATGGCTCGAGAATCGAAGGACATGCTTCTTTGAGTCCAAAACATGATAGGAAGCATGACAATGCTCACATATGCTGAAACCTCATGCCATGCAACTACTATTCTGTTTGCTGTCAAAACTGTCTTCTGCAGGAGGTTTATGCGCGACGCGCAGAATTTAGTGCCGACCGCAATATCTGAACGGCGGTGAATCAAATTAGTGCCGATGGAGATCCTAGAGTGCCGGTGGGATCTGTCCGGTCGGTGGTGCTTCTGCAATGTGTAAGGAACTGCTCCAGGACTTTGGCAATTTTCAGAAAGACAGAGCAGGACAAAACGAGGTGGCAGGTATGGTACGGGTTTTTTTCGGGCAAGCCGAGTTCCGAGCACGCGTCGTTCGCCGCATCGCCGAGGCAGAGGCTGCGGCACACTCTCTTTCTTTTACATTCTTTTTTCAATTAGAAATTCTGTAATAATTTTATTCGCTTTATCAATTTGGACTGTAATTAATTCAAACCTCCGAGTGAGGGTAAATTGTAATAAGTGTGTGTGCGTGTGATGTATGTCTTCCACACCCTTCTTCTTCCTTTTATTTACTGCTTATGATGGTAGATTAGGGCATTTATTTTAGCATACCTTATGTATGCATGCGTGCATCCATACATTTGTTACTGCATGCATTAGGCTCGGTACATCACTCTAACGCTGCATTCGTACTTCAATTCAAAAATTGACTATGTGATAGTTGATCGCATTTCATATGCCATTTAAGGTTAGCCGAGCTGTTTAGATTGAGACTTTGCATGGTGCATAGCCATACTGATTACTAGTGTCAAGCCATATTCATTACTATCCATACTGATTTGAAGCTACGGAGTACATGCAGGTAAATGCTTGTTTGAGCTAAATACTATCAGCATGCGTAGTGATTGCTGACTATGAATGTATGCCATGAAGCTACTGCTTATGAATAACCGATTGGATGCTGCTGTTGGATGAGTGATATCGACCTAGAATTCGGATAGAGCGCTTACAAATGTGGTTTTAAATAGAGTAGGGCAAATGCATCTTTTCTAGAAAACGCATTCACGGTCCTGAAGGTCGGTGCCTGGCGAGGAATCTGACAGATTGTTGATATGCCTAGCTTGACTAGGAATGGTATGAATATGATGATCCATTTATCAGCATTACAAGACTATCGAGAATAGTAATTGTTCTAATTAATGCGGCGATTGGGTGCCGCATTATGAACTCGTGTCACATTGTCTGCAGCGCATTAGGACATATAATTCACGCATAAGTAAAAGTTTATCAAGCAAGCGCACCATAAAATTTGTATTCTTGCTGAATGCGAGCAAAACTTGTTTTGTGCGCATAATTATCAGCTAAAACCGGTTAGAACTAATGTTAAAAAGGATCCGGTGAAGCCGTTCGGACCGGGCGAAAAGGGGTGCTCATAGCTGACTTCCCCGATCGTACCAAGCTCCCGGCGAGACAACTCCGGTGATGACGGACCATGTGGCCTCGACCGAGTCAGGTTTACTAAATTTCCCATTTTAAAAATATTTAGGTGGCGACTCTGTATCATGGCAAAGCAGTCCATGTTTGGCACTACTTCTCAAAAATCTGTTTTCAAAACGATTTGCCAGATTTGGACTCTTTGGTTCAGATTAAGAACCGTGACACAAATCGAGTCCGAACTGTAGCATGAGGTCCCACGCGGGCGCTGTTACATTATGTTTTAAATTTTTATCCATGTACATCAATCCAAAAATATAACTAGTAGTCTACCAAATATTTTCTATACACACCCATCCAAAAATAGAACTACTAATGTATCCAAAAATATAGAAACTAGTCTACCCTAATATTTTCCATATACATCTATACAAAAATATATAATCCTTCCAAAAATGCAAAAAGTGCCAATTTGTCCTGTACAATTTAGCTTTGTGCACGAGTTCATCCATCTGCACCAAAGAAAAAGAGAAATAATGTCAGGTAAAATTGGACAAATAATGAAAAATGTCCATGAAAAGCAAAGCTCACATTAGCAAATTAAATGACTATTATTATCAAATTGTAAATAAAACAATAGCATTCTTATGTGCTTTCTAAGACTCAAATCTTTATCAAAACAAGACTGGTATGAATTCATCTCTTAATTTGTTACTTCATTATGTAATATGGTTATTCATACTAAAAAAAATTTTAGTGTAAAAGATGCAAGATAAAAGGGGGCCTTTTGGCTAGAAAGTGACCTTCCAATGAAGCAAAAATAAATATACAATACATAAATATGTATGTATACACAAATACATGTTTCTGCTATGAGCTTATTCAATACACAAATACATGTATGCATACACAAATACATGTTTCACAAGATATTCATAGTACCTGTCCAAAAAACCAGTCACAGATTTGAACACCTATCCATGTTTTGCATCCGGTTCTGTGACTGGTTTATATGTGCATAGTTCAACTTTTATTATTATTACTTTTTTTGTTGATAAATACGTGAATAGTTCAACTATTGACAACCACCATAAGAATAAAGTAGTCGGGGGATATTGATTTCAGATTTCATAGAAAAATTTGACATACTGGGTCGAACTTCAACATATCCCCATTGTTCCGAACCATCATCAGTCCCAGCAGTAAGATGGAAATTTTCAAGAACCAATGAATTAGAAACCAGCAGAGAGAGATGCTCGAGGAGCACAAGACTCTTCATTGATGCCATTTTAGTATCCAAATGAAATGGCTAGGACAACTTTGTATATAAGAAAGCTATGGCATAGGAACCATCACTTATTTGTCCTTTGACTACAAAGAGAGTAGTAATAACAAAACAAATTTAGACGATAAATCCAAGGATGAGTTTGTTCACATATGAGTAGGCTTAACATAGTAAAGAAAAATAAAAAAAATAAAAAAAAAGTTATTGGTTTCGAACAAATTTCTATTTTAGAGGGCCCTGCTAGATGGGAGTTGTGTAACATACCCTGCATAAACTATAGTTCCATGATGCATATAAGAAAAGTGTATTGCCTAGAAATAAACAGTACATAATCCTAGCAAATTTGACAACATTCAGCCAAATACAGAGTTACCCAACATGGAAGTCAAGGAGCTGCTCAGTGAGTCTCTTTTGTAAGATATACAACATCAAAAACACACACAAGCCTACATTAAATTAAGTCAAACCATGCTAAAAACATTTTCTATGCCAAAAATTGTCACCTATTTTGCTAACTTCTAAAAATAATTCTTACAACTGGTAGAGTAATTAACAAATTTCTATCTCAAGTAACATAGTAGCTATCAATCATGATACTGGCTGGCACCATAAATCATTACACCATTACACCATTGGCGATACCCAACAACCCTTTAGATGTCCAGATTTATTTTATCAGACTACAAAGAAAGAGGAAATAAGTCATTAAATTAACCAAAGAAAGAGGAAATAAGTCACCAAATTAACCAAAGAAAGAAAAGTAAAATCTGAGAAAAATAAGCATTAAAAAAAGTATGCACCTGTGCTGTGCAAGAGATAACAATATATGCAACTGACCTAATTTTTTTATCTAACCTCAAATTCTATTCAGTTATAAGAGAACACAATGCTAATTCTATAGCAAGATTGACTCAAATCAAACCAGCACTTTCAGAAATTTACAAGTTACATACTAGTAGATTATCCAGTCTCTCCCAAGGAATCTGGTGGAATAAAGTAAGACATATGTAAGTTTCAATTTTTTGGAGATTTCATGCCCTACTGTTTCAACAGAGAAGCTTCTGCATAAATGAAATTCATCTACAAAGATTCAATAGTATCCAACATGAGTAAAAGTTATTTCATAATCAAACAGCCCATATCTAATTAATCTTACCAATTATCTTCTAAGGGTCAATTTGGTTGTACCACAAATGTGCATTGGCCATTTTAGAATTGGTTCATTCACATATTAGATAATTCTAGGCACACCTTGTAAATCTATAAATTTACTTTATTTGTGAACATTTTAATGTGTTCATTTCTTTCAACAAAATAAAATGTAAACCCACTCATATTTTGAATTAACTCAGTTGTATTCAACAATGTCCAATATGAGTAAAAGTTATTTACTAAGCAAACAGCCATATCTAATAAATAATACCAATTATCTTCTAATTGGCCATTTTAGAATTGGTTCATTCACAAATTACACAATTATTGGCTTGTGGCTGTAGAAAAAGAAAACAAAAAGGCCTCAAAAACCTATAATTTACTTTCTTTGTCAACATTTAAATTAAATGTGTTTATTTCTTTCAACAAAAAAAAAGGCCTCAAATGGTTCACTTTGAGCAACTTTCCAACTATAATTGTGTTGGTTCATCAACATCAACTTTCTAACATCTCTCTCTCCTCTTTTCTCTCTCATACACATATTTTAGATCCAAATGAAAATTAGTGACAGCATGTATATATTTAGTCGGCAAAAGTGGTCGGCAAATGTGTATATTCTTGTAGTGACAGCATGAAAGGTTCTAAACTCAAAACAACAAAGTGGCAACAATTGCAAATAGACTTACCAGAATTAACTTGAACAATATACAATTCTTCAAAGTACATGCAAAGAAACAACAAGGCTAAGGCAAGAAAACCACGAAAGAATTGAATGCCCACTTAGCCAATCCAAATATAAGGAGGATAATCATTTTGTATTGTTAATAGGCAATGAAAAGCCCAAAAGCACAAATTAGATAAGATAACATTAAAGCAGGCTCAAGGAGCAAGATTGCTAATATTGTAATAGAGTTTTATAAATTCAATATCCAAAAATAGAAGCCTATAAATTTTAGAACACATGTGCAACATACTAGCAAATATATAATAATGACAAGTATAAACCTTAAGATTATTGTTCTCCTTCTCCAGGGTTGCAATCACTCTTTTTAAACCATCTGCAATGTCATTTGTTTCTGCATTCTCCCTTCTAGTCAATTCTATTTGTAATCGTCTTACTTCTGATATTTTCTCATTCAATTCATCACGAATTTTGTTCATCTCCATTTTCTGCAAGAAGAGAACACCACGTGTGGGTGGAAGAAAAGAAAAGATTAGATTGCCAAGAACCAATGAAAAGAAGAAGAAGAAGAAGAAGAGAGAGAGAGAGAGAGAGAGAGAGAGAGAGAGAGAGAGA